TCAAGAACTCAAGTTAATTTGCCAATGCCTACTCATGGCTGAGCAGAATTGGTAAAATAGTTGCATTGAGTCAGAGCCTCAAATCAAACTATTAGTGTTTGTTGCTTGGTTACACACTGAGAAATGAGCACTGTTTTATAAACCTTTAGTATTGGAACACCGAAGCAGACTGTAAAACAAGTACACAGTGCCATAGATTAACTTAAGCACCATTTATTGCTCTGCTTAGAAATGACACATGAGAAATGTTACCCAGCTGATGAGCTGCAGCATGCTCACAATGACACAGATGGCTCCGGCTTGGCCTCCTTCACATGACACAGATAGATTGTTTATAAAAACAGTTCCCAATCACAAGCTCAATATTCCAAAAATCAAGTCAATGTTCTAAAATACATTTTATGGTATAATGACAGCAGAAGGAATGAATGCATATGTAACTGTATTTATCCACTCTAGTAAATTTGGAAATGTATATCTATCTTCTTTTCTTCTAAACTAGTTGTTTCCAAATACAGCTTTCCATGAACCAATCATCATAGATACATTTCATAATGTAAGCCCCTTCCTGTGCTGCATTATGGACTTTCTTTCTATTCAGCTTGAATATTACTCAGGGACTGATAAAGTCATAGTTACTTTTCTCTCATTACTGAGACAAAGTACTCAACACCAAGAGGTAAAGGGAAAAGGTCTATTTAGCTCACAGTTTGGTTTCAGTCCATAATCAGCTGGTTCCAAGGCAAGATGGCATGGCAGACAGGCATTGGAGAGGAGAAACAGTCCATAGCAGGCAGAAGGTAGCAAAACAAGGGATGACCGCAACTCTTTCTATCCCTTATCCAGGAATTCTTAAGGCAGGTAGCACTCACACCCTCAATCCTAGTGCCCTTGATCTTAGCACTGTACCATGAATCAATCCCAGCATCACCCATTCTAGATCCAGCCACCTCTGAAAAAGCCCCTCCTATAACTGTATGAGGTTTTGAGGGGACACATATACACAAGCCATAATAGACAGTGTCTTGAGTTTATTAAAGTGGGACTTAATGTATAAATGTAGTTTTCTCTGACAACTGTATAGTTTTCACAGAGTTATATATAGTTTTATGTGCCAAGCCCGAGGGTCAGATTCCTTCATGTCATATGTGTGACTTCAGCTTCAGCGAAGCAACATACATGTCCAGCTGGGAAAGGACCTGCCTTCCTTGGAGGTTGCATGCTGCTGTAGTAGATACCCGTATTAGTCAGTTTCCCATAACTGGGACAAGATACCTGATACCTGCAACTTAATTCTTTTATGCTTAGAGTTCCATTTTTGGAATGGTGCATAACAATGGGACATAATAAAAACTTTTCTTGTCAAACTCTTGTTCCTTGAACTTTTCTAGGCAATATATATGAATTTCACTCAAAAATTCAAAAAATTGCAACCTTCAGCATAGATGCATTAGAGGAAGTTTGTTCCACTCACCATTTTTGGTGGGCTCAGTCCATGGCTGGCAACCTCCAGGGCAGAAGGGGATAGTGGAAGGACATGGTGGAGAAAAGCTACTGAACCCACAGCAACCAGGAAGCAGAGAGAAGAGCCAAAGACAAGAGTGCACCCTTCCAGGGTACACCTTCATGACCACCTCTAGCCAGGCCCACCTCCTACCAGCACACTCAGCTGTGAACTCATCCATGAATGATTCCACTGATGAGTGCCATGTTGCCATGATCCAGTCTCCTTCCACACAGAGGGGTCTTCAGGAAGGATATTTATTATATAAACTATAATGGTAGCATCTGGTTAAATATAGCCAGCTCTGCATATCTCAGTGAATAGGGTTGAAGTAAAGGTCAGGGAAACATAGAGGCAAGGGGCTTCATTTCTCAGGAGAACACATCTTGGTGGTCTCCCACACCTTATGACCTAATTGTTCCTTATAGGCCTCACCTTTCAAGGGTTTTCAGTGGGGACTAAGTTCCCAACACATGAATGCTGGGGACCCATTTAAACTGTAGCAGTGTGACACAGCTGGAGGAGAATCAGAATGCTCTGGGAACAAATGAGAATAGCACTGCTGTGATTTGAAGAAAGGTTTACAGACTTTTTGGCTACAGTGTGTTCAGGGAGACCAGGAATACTTACACTACTAAGGAGGTTTTCAAAAATATAGACCCTCAGGCCTCCCTAGAGCTACTGAGACAGAATCTGTGGTACAACAAGATCCTCAGTTGATGCGCGCTGGATGCAGTCAAAGTTTAAGAAACACTATTTTAGTTATAGAGAATAAAACCATTAGACCATCTCAATATTCAACATTATTTCCAGGTCTTCTAATAAAATCATTAATTACCATTACAGTTTATATAAAAAATTTCCCTCCTGAAGACCCTTCTGTGTGGAAGGAGACTGGATCATGGCAACATGGCACTCATCAGTGGAATCATTCATGGATGAGTTCACAGCTGAATGTGCTGGTAGGAGGCGGGCCTGGCTGGAGGTGGTCATGAGGGTGTACCCTGGTGCATTTTTGTCCTTAGTTCTTTTCTCTGTTTCTTGGTTGCTGTGGGTTCGGTAGCTTTTCTCCACCATGTCCTTCCACTATCCCCTTCTGCCCTGGAGGTTGCCAGCCATGGACTGAACTCACCAAAAATGGTGAGCAGAACAAGCTTCTTTTCCTTTAACCCATCTAGGTTGAAGGTTGCAATTTTTTTTACCTTAATTGGCTAAAAGAATGTGATTGGATCCAGCTGAGATGCCAACATGTCTCATTGCAGCTCATGGGTGAGAACTGCTGCCCCATCCCCAATGGCTAGAATGGGGGCTCAAGCAAAAGCCCATGAGAAGCCATGGCTAAAACATAAGGTAACATCTCAGCTGAAGCCATGGGACTCAGAAAGAATTGTATCTTCCTGGCAGTGGAGGTACCAGCCTTGCATGCATCAAGTTATCTATTACATTGCTAATTGGAGACTTCTGTCCCTGGTACAAAATTGCTCTGTTTCTCCTTACAGCCAATGCCTGCAAAATTTCTCTTCCTTAGCACTCTGCCATGACCCCCACCCACCTCCCCGAATGAAACCAATAAAAGCCATGAGCTTTTAGATTCATGGTCTTTTGTTCCACGGAGAACATTGGCCCTCCCAGAGCTCAACTGCAGAACTTTCTATTTGTCTGGTTTTTTGTTTGTTTTTTTGTTTTGTTTTTCTGTTTTTGCATCAATGTGACATATTTCCAGGGATGAGACCTGAACCCTCTGCAGGGGTTTTGGTAATAAGGGCTCTGCCCTTACTGATGGACCAACATCATTATTGGAGGAGTGAGCTCCTGATTAAAGGGTTACTCCCCCGCCCCTCCTGCCCTTCCACCTTCTGTCCTGGGATAACATAGTAGGAAAGTCCTTGCCAGGCCTGGCCATATAGCTTGGTGACAGAGCCTGCACTGGTATGCATGAAGGTCTGACCTAGCTGAGAAATCTGGAGGCCAATGTCTAAAGGGGGAGACTGGGGCTCTTCAGAAACAAGCACACTTCCATCTTCTTTCCCTTCTTATTCTGCCAGGTTACAAGCCCACTGGTTAGCACCACTGACATCCAGGGTGGGTCTTCCCCCTCAGATGGGTGGGCTACTTGCCAGTCATCCACAAACATCAGAACTGTGTTTTTCTACTCTGCCAGGCATTTGCTAATCCGGTCAAAATAGCACACCAGGATTAATAGTCACAATACATTTTTATCACACCCTTGAACATGCATAAACACTTCCCAGGTACCTTTTCATTAAAATGTCACAAGACATTGGAGATTTTTCAAAGTGAGGGCAAAATTTGTCATTCTGATCATGGCTCGCAACAGTGACATGAGCTTCCCAGGGGACAGGAGAGGCTGATAGAGAACCACCCTGTGGTCCTCACTGAATCACCTGCTAGATGCAGGATTCCAGCAGCTTCCCCAGGTACCCTGGTTCAGGATAGGAAGTAAGCAGTGCACTGGATGAGAGTGTTAATAAGAACTCAGGAATAACTGCTTGCATTGGTCATAGTTATGATAGAGTGAGAAAACTGCAATGAAACACTGTTAGTGCTCAATGCTCCAAATCACCAGTGCACAATGCCAGCATTCCCTGCACTCACACACTAAAGCACAAGGTCTGGTGTTTGTTTTCTGGCATCCCTGCTGTCCTCATCTACATTTCCTATAGCAGCACTTGTGCAAGAGGGAGCTTGGAACTGAAACATCTGCTACTATATCAGATGGACACAGAGTTGCTCTTGCTACTTTCTCTTGTTTCCTTGTGTAAATAGGTCGATGAATACATAGTAACCATTAAAAAGCCAGCATCTGTAAAGAAAAGACCTCCCTCAGAATTTCAGTAGTTTGCTGTGATACATGGGTGTGTGAAAGGCAAGCAAACCAGATGGCCAGTTACATTATTCATTCCTGTTAGGACGCAATTTTTATTTTCACTACGTCCGGCAAACTATTTTACAGTATCAGTTATGGTAAATCATCAATACAGTGTACCTTGCTTTCACTTTGTCTGGCAAGTACTGGGGTACAGGAATGTGAGGACCTTCTATGACCTGTATGCACACCCTGAGAATACACCTGACAGACTGCATCCTCACACACAGCAGTGAGGATGCTCTCCCCATCCTCTTCCCTAGCTCACTTTAAACACGGCTGGGTAACCACAGAAGTAAGGCGCAACCCCGCTGGACCAAGCAGTCGCCACCGAATAGAGGCTGGTAGGGGCCTCTGCCATCACCAGGTCTCCCACTTGAGGCCCGCCTCGCAGGGAGTGAGCTGTCCAAGTCTCCTGTGCACAAGAAACCAGAGGTGCTGGCGGTTCCAGCCCTACGCTAGGAGCTGCTCCTGTTCGGCCTCTGGGAGGGGCCAGATTAGGAGTCAGGGCCTGCACCCTGGGGTCACGAGCCGTGTGCTGTCTTGTGTCACTGACTGAGCCAGGGTCACTGGACACTGGGCCGTAGGGCACTCCTGAGGGTAGGAGTCATGAAGCGCTTCATGGCCCTGGCTGTTCAGTGGGCCTCAGGGTGCGGGTGGGGGACGTCCTTGCCTCCTGCACAAGAACTGCATGGACGCCGCCTTTCCCGGCCTTGGGGTGCAGCTCCTCGGCTCAAGAGTTCCAGCTGCAACGCCCCTGCCCCGTGTGTATTGACGTCGCCTTTCTCGTTGCGCTCCCAGCCTAGGCAGTGGACCCTGCCCTTCAGTCTCCGAGGACCCCAGCCGGCCCGCGACCCCCTGTGAAGCTGGCCCTGCCCCTCGCCCCTCCCCACAGGCCTCAGCCGGGCACCCAAGCTAAAAGCGACTCCGTGGCTCGGTGACCCCAGAGTCTCACTCAGCCTTCTGTGCGTTCAGCCGCCAGCTGGCCGGTTGCTCCTATTTCGCACTGCGCCGCAGTTTGGCAGTCGCCCGGGAAGGGTGGGGACTCTGCCCGCCTGATCCGCCCTCAGCGTCCTGGCCCCGCTTGGCCCCTCCCCGCGGACGCGGGTCCCCTCTCCCTTCCGCCCCACCCTGCTCATCCCCCGCGTCTATAAGAGCCACCGGGGAGAGCACAAGCCAAGCAGTGGCGTGTGCGGGTCCAGGGGATAGGGCTCTGCCTGGCGCAGGCCTCTGTTCCCTCAGCGCTGTGACAGGTGAGCGGCCCGGGCAAAGCGACAGACCGGAGGGTCTCAGAGCGGACACTTGGGCCCCTGCCAGACTTCACAGGTCCCTCGCCTCGACCCTGCACGAGTCACCGCCGGTCCTCAAGCCCCGCAGCTCCTCCGGGCCCCCTCCTCCTCCTGCAGCGCAGACGCGAGGGACACGGTGGCCTCGGGCAGCGCGCAGAGCGGTGAGTGTGAGGGGACCGCACACCCCAGCCCACGCCCCCCGCGCCCCAGGACCCGTCCACACCCCAGGGCCTCCGCACCCCAGCGCCCCTCCCACCCTCAGGGCGCAGCCCGAGTTCCGGCTGTGTGGCTACACACTGTCCCATTGCTCTGCTCTGCTCTGCCTGCCACTTCCCTCCGGGCTGCTTGCTGATGACCAGGCGGACCTCGTCTGTGTGTGGAGCCAGGTCCCCTCCTGGTGTCACAGGGGTCACCGGCAATGACAGGGACTCCTCCTGAACTATACAGGAAGTAGAGGGCTGACCTGAGCTCCGGCTTCCTAGATTAGAAGGAAATGAGGTCTGACCAACTCCGTGGGCCATGCTCCCCTCAGCGGTGCATGAGCGGCTCAGGTAGAATAGGGAGCCTTTGAGGTTTGTTCAAAAAGAAGTCTGCCGAAGTGCAGGTACCTAGGAGAGGAGGCAGCAGGGGAGCCCAGGGAAGCAGGGCCTCCGGGAGCGGGCACAGCTGAGCCAGCCAACGGTGTCTGCTGAGGGCCTGTGGTGTGGCCACTGCCTCTGGGCACTGATTTGGGAGGTGGGGGACCCAATGCTCAGCTACCTGCTTTCCTTTGAGCAAATCTAATTGTTTTCCTGGGACTGTTTTGTTTTGCTACACTAAGAAAAATCACTCCGCAGTTAGAAATAACCTTGTGGCCCTCCTAGGTCTGCTTTGCATGGGCCATCCTTAACCCATGAGGCAAGGCGGGGCGTGGCAGTGAAGACAGCCCAGAGACTACAGCTCAGTGGGTCTTTGATAGCCACCTTCAGGCTCAGGGCAGACTGACTCACTGCAGAACCATAAGAAAAGTCCTTCTATACACCTATTCCTAGAGTTAGAAAACATCCCCCCTTCAAATAATAATAGTAAACGAGAAAGAAAACCACCAGTCGTCTTGGATAACCCCAAATGATTTTTGATACAGGCTTTAAGATTATGTACACACATATAAATTTGAAGAAAAATGGTTATATCTTTTCTACCTTATTTATCAAAATCATTACTTCACAGCTGACCTTCCAGTGATTTCCTCTATCACCTCCCTAGTCAGCAGAGCGAGGTCAGCAGACTCTTAGGGCATTAAGCAGCTCCGCAGACAGAAGTAGTGGGTGTCACCTTCTGTGTGATCCTGGATCATCCTGGATCCCCCTTATCTAGACTCTTTATTTTGTACAGACTTTGACTACTGGGACTATGCTGCCCCTGAACCCAACCTGCAGCAGGCGGTGCTTGAGGAGCCTGCTTGCCAGAGCCTGGCTGCAATGCTGGAGCAATACCTGTCCAGGTCCAAGCAGACCAAACTGGGCTGCTCCACAGTCCTGGTGCCTGAGCGGCTGACCCGACGCATCGCCCAGGATGTCCTGCGGCTGTCGTCCACAGAGCCCTGCGGCCTTCGGAGCTGCGTGATACAGGTGCAGCTGGAGGCGGGCAACGTGTGCAAGAGGCTGGGCTGGATCGTGTGTGACACTAGGATGGCACCCACATTCGAGCTGACACTGGTGTTCAAGCAGGACCCCAGCTCCTGGGGTAGCTTGAGGGACGTCTTCAGCAGAAGCTGCCTCTCCTCCAGCCTGGGGCGCACGCTGATCCTCAGCCCAGGCTTCCGACTTGTAAAGAAAAAACTGTACTGTCTGCTGGGACCCACAGTCGCTGAAGAGTGCTAGGAAGAACACGTGTTCTGGGAGTTCTTTGGGGATCGGGTGATAAAACTCTGCAGCTGCTCAGGCACAGGCATCTGCCATGTGCTCTGCTGCCCTCAGCGAAATTCAGTTAGGCCATTTCTTTCCACTTGTCATTAGAGACAGGGGTGCTCAGCTTTAGGGGTGATTCTATGGCTTTTAAAAAATAACCCAAGAAAGTACATTTTACACGTATATCATGTTTTTATGGGCTTTTTACCTACTTAGATTTTGTTTGACTCCACAACCTTCTGTAGGCATTCTTGGGAACCAGGTGTTCCCAGCATGACTTTCACAGTGCTTTTCCTCCAAGTGCCCCCAAACTGTAGCCAGTGATGCTCAGTTCCCGGGAAATCCAGAAGCTCAGCTCAGCTTCTGCTCACAGGAAAAGTTCTGAGGACTCCCCTGGGTGACAGTGAGTGAGACACGTCACAGTGGCCCACAGTGGCCCACACTGGTGCCGTGCCCCCATCCGAGTGACTCCGAAGACTCATTTGTACGGAGCTCAGCCCTCCTCCTCCAGTACTGCACATGCTCTGCACTAGATACTTGGCAGGGTCACCCTTTCTGTGTCACACTTAGTTGGTGCCATCCAGGGAGCAGTGACTACGGGGCCAGGAAGATGGGAAGGAGTTGGCAGCGCAGTCCCGTTCAGTCCTGCCGGGCAGCGGGGTCTGGAACCTGAGTGAGGTGGGGAGGGCAGGGTTCTCCCAGCCTAGTCCAAGAGAGAAGCGCAGCATTGTGCACTCCACAGTTAGTGATCGGATGTTGCAGTCCACAGGGCAGAGGTGCGGCTCACACTTCCTGATGGAGACCGCAGCTCACGTCCCAGAGCCCAACACCACCAGCTCCCTCCCACCATGAAGTAATAAAAGCCTTAGTTTTTCCTCTTATTCTTTGCCTGTTTCTTGTGTTGAGAGAATTTCATTCCCCATGGCCATTCAGTCAGTAAGGCCTTTGCCCCTTCACTGTGTCCAGGACAAGGACCCCCAAGGTCTCCGCCCAAAATATAGCACTGCTTCACAAACAAGTGCGATCCTATTACTGACCCTCCAGGTGGCTGGAAATGTCACTGCTCAGAGAAACAGAGCATTTATTAGCGTCTAACAAATCCAACTCTGCAAGGCTTAGGAAGACAGGGGAAACATGCAGGACAGGGCGATGGCCCATTGGCACTGTAATGTCCACCACCGCCATTCAGGGCCCTGAAGACCAATGTTTGTGCAGCGCCTTAGGGTCACTGCCCACCGAGCTTGAGGCTCCTCAGGGGGGTGTTGTGCTGTCCTCTGCCATTAGTAGGTTCCTCTCCCTGCCCAGGGCAGAACAGCAGGGATTTACAGAGCCTCCTACATCAGTATTCCCATTAAAGGAAACTGAAGTTTATCTACTTTTGACAATAAAACATTATATATTTTTAATTCTCTTGTCCTCTGTCTTTTCTGAATTCATACCATGACCACCTTAAGATATATTTAACAATCTTTGGAGTAAGATAACAAGATAACTATTCCCCTTTTTCACAGAGCCAATTTGTATCCTCAATGTTAATGTTCCAATCGTCTTTAATATATGTGCTTATGCACCAATAAAGAGTGGTTTGCTTAACAACTTTTCAACTTTTTCATAATACTTTGTATAGGAAGACAATCATCTGAGCTCCTTTGGCAACTGCTTTTTGAAAGGAAAATCTCAAAGCTCATTGTACAGGGGTTTTTGTGTAGCTTTTCTGAAGATGAAACATAGGGTGCAGGATGTGCTACTCCTTTCATCAATGTATTCTATTTGAATAGAGAGCTAGTACTCTTCTCTCCAACCTGAGCTGCTAATCTTTTGCACCTGTCTTTTCTGCCTCTCATGTTTGGGGACACTGCCCTCCTTCTCTCACCTGATGACCTACCATTATCTAGTGCAGAGACCATGAGGTGCCAGGTGCTTGGCACTGTCCCAAGAGCTTTGAAAAATCATCCCTTTGACTCCTCGGCATCCCCCTGGAGGGGGAGTGCTGTCACATCTGGCTTATAAATAAGGACAAGGACAAGTCATTTTCCAGATGTGAGCCATGCCCCAGTCAGGGCAGCACCGCCTCACTCAGGAAGATGCCCTCTTCCCCAGGACTGTGAGACAGCAGATGCCATGGGCTCACACTTCAGACCGAGAGCTCTGACCATGGTCTCTGGGCAGGGAGGGAGGATGAGGGCACCGTGGCTCAAGGCCCTCACTGTCGAGTCAGGAAAGAGGCACACACTTCAGTCCCAGCTCCTCTTGCCCTCGAGCAGTTGGCCTGGTGACCTCCTTGCTACTTTCTAGTAAATATATGCTGTCTCCATATAAATGGAAATGAGCCCTGAGGTGGGCTGGGTGACAGCTCCTATTTTGTTATTGTTTCTATGAGTATAAGTTCTGAAAAAATCTATTTGAATCAATGAGATGGGAATGGAGATCTGATTATTTCAGTCTCACTCAATCTTTGAACTAATTTCAAGAAATATGCCAGAATCACAATAATATTTATCATAAATGTAATCTATGTTTCAGGCCGGGATTGGAGCTCAGTGGTACATATTTTCTTAGCATGTGCAAAATAATGGGTTCAACTTCCAGTGCCAAAAAAAAAAAGAAGAAAAGCACTATTAGATGATCAGTCTGCACATAATCCAAATAGATGTTTTTGCATCACTGTTTGAGGAAGGGTTTGTCACCTGGGTGTCACTTTAGTAACTGCTGTAACAAAATACCATGGAGGGAGTGGCATAAGCAAACATTAATTCCCTTGCAGCTCTGGGTACTAGAAATCAGAGTTCCTAAAGCTTGGCTTCTCCTGGAAGCTTTGCCTGGCTTACAGACGCTGTGACCCCCATGTCCATGCATCTTCTCTGTGCACAGGTGTGTCCTAATCTCCTCTCCAGCTAAGGGCAGGGTCAGGACTACTCCAGAGACATTATTTCAATTTAATTAACACTGTAAAGACCTTCTCTCCAGCTGTGCTGAGGTATGAGGGTTTAAGACTTTAATTATGTATTTTAGGTGGGCACAATTCTGCCATAACACCAGACACTCCAATAATTCACTTCCTCAATACTATCCTAGAGCAATATTTGAAAATGTTCTTTGTTTAGTTCTCTAGCTTCTCCCACCCCAATGCAAGCATTCTGGTCAGATTGGCAACAGGGAGAAAAATATACAGTCGGGGAAAAAGGTTGCTCCATAATAAGGAGACAGGACCTGCATCCTGGGTATGTGAATAGAGAAGCACACAGTTTGGAAATTGGTTCCCCCAGAGCTGGCATTGCCCATAGCACATGGAGATCACTTCCCCACACTAAGTGCCTGGCCACAGACCTCTACCGCCCTGCATCCTGGTGCCAGGAGCTCCCTGTAGGCCTTGGCATCACACTGTTTGGAAGGAAGAGCAAGGTGCAAGTTCATCAACTCTCAGGTGGATGAGTGAATGGTAGTTTGATCACACATGGAATGCTAGGCAGCAAGGAAAATGAGTGTTTATAAAAGACCTGGAGGAACCCATGGGACATAATATTGACTATGAAAAGAGATCATAAAAATAACTAAGAAATAGGCTGTTTCTCTTTCTGTGTATGAGCAAAAAATGAAAAAAACTAAAATGTTTAGCAATACAAGATATATATAGTTTGTTTATTTTAAAAATCCAGTGACTCATTTGCACAAATTTTAGAACAGTGACACATCCAATGAAACAGGAAGGCATGTGGGAGTAACAAAGGGATCCCAGAAAGTATCAAAATTGGTAGTAGTAGTCTTTTCCATAAATGTGAAGGTAGGTTTATGGTTTAATCTTGACTTCTGTTGGATGTTTAACTATATTTGATCAATCTCTTTTTATAAATCTTTCTTGTACTTAAATCCACAAAATATTTTAAAATTGTAAATGGCTAATGGTAATTTTTTAAATTTATGAAACTCAATCTGTACCTGTACCAGTTATGCCTGCATTGTGGAGCACCATGTTCTCCAGTGGCTTCATCCACTGATGTCCACAGCTGAATTTGCTGTATGAGGGCCCCAGTGAAAGGAGGTGAGTCACTGGAAAGCCTGTATAAGATGAGGTCTTGCAGGCCCCTTCCCCTGTTCTGCTTCATAGCCTCTCCCACCTTCTGCCATGGAGCCAGTTTGGAGCCAGCTAACCATGGACTGGACCCTCTGAAAGGATGAGCCAAATAAACTCCTTTAAGTTGTGTTTGTCAGGTATTTTGTCCTTGCAACAGAAAAGCTTACAGTATCTCTACTTAAGAATTTTCTATACTTACAAGTGCATTTTCATTGAACTTGCTCTAAGAGGCAGGAAGTACTCGTAATTTATCTGGGCCTCTAATTTTTCTAGTATACATATTTTAAGCAAACTGCAACTGTTATTACAGCCCACTTTCAGCTATTTGTACCAGGAAAGGGAGCCATGGGATAAATAAATGAAAAACAGCATAAAATACAAAAATCATTACCATTTGGCTATGGGCTCCATATGATTAATGCTCCAACAAACTTATCTCTGCAGAGGATAATACAGAGTGATTTTTACTGTGCCTGAGCATACAATATCCGAAAAATTATGACATATCATGCTGAGGAATGCAGATGAGTTACAGGGGGTTGTGGAGGAACATTCATCTAGGTACCTAGGATCTGATCTCAAGCAGAACTGATAATTAGGAAGGTTTATTTACAAAATCAATATTCACTAATAATCCACAAATATATTATTTTAATACCTCCTCAATCTGAAAAGTGCTGAAAAAAAAGCAAAGCAAATAATTGATTCATATGAGTCAAGTAACTCATATGAATTTGCTAAGAAATAAGAAATTTCTGAAACCTCTTTTCAGAACTCCAAATTTAAGCATTTTCACATCCTGTAGTGTGCTATGTGTAGAGATATTGAGTCAACTGTCTCTGTCCTTCAGAGAATTTTTCTAGTAGCTACCACAAGACTCAAATGGAACTTGCTATGAATAGTAGATAACTGTACAGTGTGAAGGAAGTACTATAGGCAGGACAGACAGGTTTAACTGAAAGGGAACAGAGTCCTGTGTTAGGAACTCTCAAGACCCTAAAATTAACTCAACTTTCAGGATAATATGTTAGCAGCTAGGCATAGTGGCACATGCTGTAAATCTTAGCACTATGAGAGGCAGAGGCAGTAGGATTGCAAATTCTAGCCTAGCCTGGGCAACTTAGTGACTTATTTTAAAAAGACCTAGTGATGTAACTCAATGCTAAGGTCCTGAGTTCAACCTCCAGAACTGCAGGAAGAAAGAGAAAGAAAGAAAGAAAGAAAGAAAGAAAGAAAGAAAGAAAGAAAGAAAGAAAGAAAGGAAGGAAGGAAGGAAGGAAGGAAGGAAGGAAGGAAGGAAGAAAGAAAGAAAGAAAGAAAGAAAGAAAGAAAGAAAGAAAGAAAGAAAGAAAGAAAGAAGGGAGGGAGGGAGGGAAGGAGGGAGACAGAGAAAGAGAAACAGCCTACCACAGCTTGGTGGGCATTGGTAGCACGCACACGATTCCTGGGTCAGAGACAAAAGACATTATTATTCATGCACAGCAAGGAGCATGAGCAGCAGCTGCAGCATGAGCAGCAGCACCAGCCTCTATTTCCTTTAGGTACAACAGGAGCAATGCAGCTGAGCCCAGACTGATACCTATTACAGGAAGGAACCCTGAATCCAGAGAACCCAAACATTTTATAATAGGCATGCATGTCTGTTATGGTTTGTGTCTGGGTGTCCTCCTCAAAGCCTCATGCAGTCATGGGGTGGGCTTCTAGAGTTTATGACTGATCCATGGTGCAATCCTGGGATCATGAATCTGAGCGCTACACCTGCCTTGGGTCCAGCAGCTTGCATATAATACGAAGGAGGGAAAGAGGCTT